TTTGCCAGTGTTGTGGCATGTCATGACTTTAGAATTTTGTATTTCATTAGGATATAAATGTATCATGGGAGAATTAATATAAGTTGTTTTAAGGTTGGCTTCTATAGACTTGTTCAGTCTTAAAATTGTCATCTTATGCTGGGTGTGGTGGCATGCACTTTAAATCCCAGCAGAGGCAGGCAGATCTCTGTGAGTTCAAGGCCAGCCTGGTCTACATAGTGAGTTCCAGGCCAGCTGGGGCTACGGAGAGATCCTGTCTCATAAAGGATCACACCCCCCCATTGTCATCTTATTTCTTTATTAATCATCTTATTTTTATAAGTTTTTTCAAAGATTGGGTCTTGTTTTCTGTACTTTGAAATTTTATTTTTTATTATATTTGTATTAATGTCTTGCCTGCATGTATGTTGTGCAGTGCCCATGAAGGCCAGAAGAAGGTATCAGATTCCTTGGAACTAGAGTTTTGTAGATCAATAAAACAGTTGTGAATGCATGTTTTCTTATAGTGTCTCATCCCCTTACATGGTTTGAGTTGTCCATATAAGTTTGATCCTTCACATTTTTTTTTGGGGGGGGGTGTTTTGTTTTGTTGTTATTGATGTTTGGTCTTTTTGAGACAGGGTCTCCATGTGTGGCCTCATTTGTCATCTATGATATGTATTTCCTGTCTTGGAAATTTCTTTTTTTATCTTAATCTTTTCTTGGCTTTGCTAGTCTTGCTATATTTAGTATATGTCATGGGTCAGTTTATGAGGAAAAAAAATTATTTCCCTTTCAGTATTTGCTTTCTTGATTTTTTTTTTCTAATTGTTTTAATTTTCAAAGTTTTAGAATAGTTTTTAGATACTAACCACCTGTCCTAAGTGCTCCTGTTCATCTGTGATATGGTCTGGTTTTTATCTCTTCCAACATATTCCTCTTCCAGATCATCCAGCCCTGATTAACTGAGGTGCAGTGGGTTTTTTTCTTTTTTTCCTTCAAAAAGGTAATTAACAATGTTCATGTAGAATGTCATATTTAGTATCAGTGGCATCCATAAGTGTAACTTATTAGAAAATTTCTTCAATTTGCCAAGTCTGATCTTCAAAGGACTTTCTTTGTATGTAACCTTTCTGTGTAATCTGTCCTTAGAAGGCAGTTGTGGAATGTTGATAAAGACCACATGATTCTCTCTCTCTTTTTTGGGGGGAGGGGGGCTCTTTTTGAAACAGGGTCTCCTTGTAGCTCCAGCTGTCCTGGAACTCACTCTGTAGACCAGGCTGGCCTCGAACTCACAGAGGATCCATCTGCCTCTGCCTCCTGAGTGCTGGGATTAAAGGCAAAAAAGCATGCACCACCACACCTGGCAAGACCACATTATTCTTAAATATTTATCTTTATTCTGTGTAAGTCCATAAAGGGAAATACATTAAAGACATGTCAGTGAAGATGCTGGGATGGAATGTAGCTCAGTGTCCCTGGGTACAATTCCCTGGGGTGGGTGAGTGATAAAATGAGTACTTCCAAAGACACAAAGGAAAAGATGACTGTGGTGCCTGACTTCAGCATTTGGAAGGTAGAGGTAGGAGCATCAGAAATTTGCAGGCACCCTTGGCTACACGAGACATCCTTCCATTCCCACTAAAAAAGGAGATACAGAAAAGATAATAAGCTAGATATGGTGGCACATCCTGTAATCTAGCACATGGGAGGTTGAGGAAGGATTTCTGGGAGTTTTAAGGCCAGCTTGGGGAATCTATTGTCTTAAGAAAAACTGAAACCAGCATTTGGCGAGGGAGCTGAGGCAGAAGGATTGCTGTGGATTTCCTAGAGGAACTAGAAAGTGCAGTTTAGGGGTGGAATTTTGGTGCTCCTGCCTTGTACCTATTACATTATTAGCCTTTCTTCTCACAGTGCCATTCCCCAGAAAGGTTCTTGCTTGCCCGACTGGGTGTTGCCCAGATGATGTTATGAGTCATGCTTTGGCAAATTCCACTTGTTTTTTGTAACCCAAGATTGTAAGGATCCCACATTCAACTTTTCTTCTCAAAACCCTGAACTGTAAGAATCAAGTCTTTTGAGGATTTAAGTTCATTATTTCTCTGTTTTCTTCCTATGTGTGTAAGGAATACACACAATTTATTTCTCTTGGAATTAATCTAAAACAAAAATTGTGAATGGGAACACTTTTTCACTTCTTAGCTATGAGATTTGGTTTTTTGTTTTTTTTTTTTTGTTTTTTTTTTTTTGAAACTCAAAGGTAGTTTTTGGGGGTTTGATTAAAAAACACTGGGACAGGCAAGTTAAAAATCTTGGCGTTTGCTTGAAGAAAGAAAATTGAAGATGAAAAGGGAAAGCCATACCTTTTGTAGTAGTGGATGGGAAACAGCTACCAGAAGTGCCTGAGAGAAAACCAGGTAACAGAGAAAGCATGCTTAGACTTTGGCCAGTACCCAAAAGAAAAAGATATATATAAAAAAGGAAAAGTTAAGATTTTCTTAGGACTGAGAAGAACCTGCAGGTTATTCAGTGCTATGCCATGGAAGCCCTAGAAGTGACTTTTAAGAGTGGGTTTTAGGTTTATAAAGGTTAAAGAGTAGCTGAGGCAGAGGCAGGCGGATTTATGTGAGTTCAAGGCCAGCCTGGTCTATATAGTGAGTTTCAAGCCAGGTGGAGCTACTGGGAAACCCTGTCTCAAAAAAAAAGGGTTAAAGAGTAATTACTTAGTAGTATCATGAAGCGTGCCACCTTGTGTAAGACCATCTGAAAGCTTTTGAAGAGAATGTATATACTGATGAGAGATGTTTTGTTACTGTAGAAGGCATTAATAGTGGGTAGTAGGTGCAGTTAACTGAAAAGAGTAAGTAATGCCCTGGGAATCGATAGCCAGCAACTTACCTAAGTAGACATTAAAAACTATCAAGTGAGCTGGTGTAGTGGATGAAGCACACCTGAAATCTCAGTACTTGAGATAGATAGAGGCTAGGGATCAGGCCAACCTTGACTGCCCAAGACAGTGTCTCAAAAAACACAACTGGATTTCTGCCCCACTACAGGGTGGGGGTGGCCATCTTGGATACGTGCCCTCAAAAGTTCCTGATTCTGCATCGGGGTTTTTCCACTACTTTCCACCTACCAGGGTTGTATCCCCAGCTCATCTCTGTGGGGCAGATGGCCTCCTAACAGCTGGCTCCTTTGCAGATCACTTGTGAAAGGAGACTTTTTACATGTCCTACTATATCAGTGAGGACTGTTAACATGGGTACTGGCATAACTTTCTTCTCAAGAAATTTGGAGTGGCACAGTACTCTTAATAAGTTAAAAAAAAGTCTGGAGAGGTGGCTCTTCTGAAGAGAGATGGGTGATTGTATATATGTATTACTTGATAACAAAGAAATGAGTTTCAGGGCTGGAGAGATGACTTTGGTTTGATTCCCAGCACCCACATGGTGGCTAACAACTGTCCAGTCATACACATAAAAATAATAAAATATTTTTAAAGAGAAAAGAAATGAGCTTCACATAAGTCCACATATAAAAACTAACAGGAGAGTTAGAGACCAAAAAGTTCCATTGTTGGAAGAACAAAGTCACTGACCTCTCCATGCCCAGAATTGGATTTGGTCTTGATCAGCTGCAGTAGGAAAATGTATCTGCGATGATTGATGAGGTATTTGAGGCAGTAGACATTAAGATTTCCATGTATACACGCCAAACAGATGAAGATTTGGATGGACCTGTGTTTTTCTGTGTCATCCCTAGTTGGCAAACTGATCTTTAAAAGCAGAGGAAAATCTTGGTTTGAGGGAATTTACATCATGGACTGGACATGGGTTTCTGGATTCCAGTATTTGGACAGGTCACTGCTTGGGTTACATTGCTGTGTTTGCAGAAAGGTGAGGACTGCAGCCGGGCGTGGTGGCGCACACCTTTAGTCCCAGTACTGGGGAGGTAGAGGCAGGCAGATATCTGTAAGTTTGAGGCCAGCCTGGTCTACAATAGTGAGTTCCAGGCCAGCTGGGGCTACGGAGAGACCCTGTCTCAAAAAGACCAAAAAAAAAAAAAAAAAAAACCCAAAATGGTGATGACTGTGAGGCCAGACAGTAGGCCAGGAAACTATTTAGTGAAGCCCATGTGGCTTATTTTGCTCCAGTGCATTACCTAGGTTGTTTGACTGGACTCTAGGTGACAGCATTGATCCTAATTTGCTTGCCTTTTGAAGAGAAATTGCAGGAAAGGGGTGAACTTTTGGCATCTTTTTGTCCTTTGTGCCCTTGGTGTAATTCTAATGTCAAAATCATAGAAAAATATTATGGTTTGGTTTGGTTTGTTTTAGTTACAAATTTAGGTCTATGCTCTCACCAGGAATATGTGGTGACAAGAGTGGAACAGCAAATCATGGGATTACAAACAACAAGCAGGCATAGTGGTGTGTGCCTTTTTAATCTTTACCTGTACTCGGGAAACAGAGGCAGGCAGATCTTTGTGAGATTGAGGCCAGCCTGGTATACATAGTGAATTCCAGGCCAGCTGGGGCTACCAGAGACCCTGTCTTAAAACAACAACAACAAAAAATCCATCAGTTGGTAAAGCCTACAGGCAAAGTATGTCATAAATTCGATACTGGATTTTGTCATGAAAAGGAAGGAAATTTCTTTAATCACTTTGACAACCAATCTGTTAGATAAATGAAATAAACGTTTTGTTAGAACTTTCAAGCAGCTATTTAGAAAGATTTTCTGAATCTTTGGGTGAATGGGGAGCTAGCGTATTTGTTGTTTTAATGTGAGTGAGTGAGTCTGTGTGAGAGACAGAGATGGAGACAATACAAATGTGCACCTGTGGAAGTCAGAGGATAACTTTAGGGAAATTTTGGTTTCTCCTTTCACTCTGGGTTCCAGGAATCAAACTCTGGTTATCAGGCTTGCATGACAAATGCTTTTACCTAGTGAGCCATCTTGCCATCCTGGGAACTAGGTTTTCGTCAGAGCCAAATTGTCAGTTTTATCTGCTTTTCATAGGTTCACCGGAACAGCACCATCATCCGCTCTGGCTGCGATGTGAATCCCTCCTGTGCACTGTGTGGTTCAGGCAGTATCAGCACCATGCCTCCTGAAATCCACTATGAAGCCCCACTATTGGAGCGTCTTTCCCAGTTGGACTCTTGCGTTCACCCTGTGCTAGCATTTCCAGATGGTAAGAAAGACAACAGAATATAAACTCTAGTCATTGAGATCTGAAAGGGTTCCAGGTGAAAGGAACTCAGCTGATGTCCTTTGTGTGGTGGCTCAGATACTCTGAAGATACCACTTTCTATCAACAAAATCTTCTCAGAATTTTGCAAAAGAGTGTAACAGATTCACCAAATCAGAAGGTACTGCTAAAGATTGTAACTGGTCCACCATGGTGTCTGTCACCTCCAACTACAGATACCCTGGTATTAAAGATATGTTTCTGGGGGCTGGAGAGATGGCTCAACAGTTAAGAACACTGGTTGTTCTTGCAGAAGACCCGGGTTTGAATCCCAGCACCCACATGGCAGCTGACAGCTGTCCATAACCCCAGTCCCAGGGGATCCGACAGCCTCTTCTGACCTCTGCAGGCATTGCATGACACAGGTGCACTTACCTACATGCAGGCAATACACGCATACACATAAAATAAAAATAATAAATAAAATATTTTTTTAAAAAAAGATATATTTCTGGGTATGGTGGTGCAAGTCTGTAATCCTAACACTTGGAAGATTTATGCAGGAGTGTTAGAAGTTCAAGGCCAAACTGAGTCAGCTACAGAATGAGACTCTGTATCTAGAACTTAGTATATCTTTCAGGATTTTTTAATTCCATTGGTTTTTGAGACAAAGTCTTGGGTAACCCAGGCTGGCCACTCACTACATGTCTGAGGATGACTTTGAACTCTTCTTCAGTCTAACACTATCCCAACTGAGCTATTTCAGTACTTCGACATTGAACTCTTGATCCTCCCATCTCTACTTTCTTTTTTTTAGTTTTTTTTTTTTTTAACTTTTTTTTTTTTTTTTTTTTTTTATTTTTTTTTTTTTTTTTTTAAACGTGTATACATGTATTGCTTGCATGTAGGTAAGTGCACCCGTGTCCTGCAATACCCGCAGAGGTCAGAAGACGCTGTCGGATCCCCCTGGGACAGTTGTTAGGTGCCTTGTGGGTGCTGGGATTGGAACCTGGGTCTTCTGCAAGAACAACCAGAGTTCTTAACCGCAGAGCCATCTCTCCAGCCCCTCCCATGTCTACTTTCTGAATGCTGAAATTACAAGCATGCTCCACCACATTTGTTTGAAAATTTTTTCTTTTTTTTTAATATTATTTTTATTTTATGTGTATGAGTATATTGCCGGCATGTATGTGAGTGCACCCATGTCCTGCAATGCTACAGAGGTCAGAAGAGGGCTTTGGATTCCCTTGGAACTGGAGTTATAGATTGTAATTAGCTGCAATGTGGATGCTGGGAATTGAACCTGGGTCCTCTGCAAGAGCAGTCAGTGCTCTTAACTGCTGAGCCATCTCTCCAGTCCCTGAAAAGCTTTTCTAAACCACTTCCCTAGACAGACTACAGGAAATCAGTGCTTTATAATTTGGGTTAGTTTCATTGGTTTTTCACATAACCTCATAATCTTTTGCTTGCCTACAGGAAATAAAATTTCGACCATTGCTGCTTGTCCCTAGAGTTTTATTTTCTCTCTTGCTAAAAAAATCTTTTCTCTTGCTAAAATAAACCCTGGTGGGCAGGTGAGACAGCTCAGTGGGTGAGAATACTTACTGTCAACCCCAGTCACCTGAACTGAATCCTGGGGACTCTCAGTGTTTAAAGAGAGAACTCCCACAGGTTTCTTCTGACCTCCATGTGCACAGGTACATACACATGTGCATACATACATAGAATAAGATTATAATAGAAGGTTTTAAAAATAAGATAAACCTCGATTAAACTACAAGGTAAATAAACAATCCTTGATTGCTTACTAACTTTTAAAAAAGATTTATTTTCATTTTATGTCTTAGAATGTTTTGCCAGTGTGTGTGTGTAACTGTATCATGTACGTACAGTGCCTGAGGAGGTCAGAAGAGAGCCTTGGATCCCCTGGAACCGGAGTTATGGATGATTGTTAGCCACCATGTAGGTGCTGGGAATTGAACCTGGGTCCTCTGTAAGAGCAGCCAGTTCTCTTAACTGCTGAGCCATCTCTCCAGCCCTACTTGCTCACTTTTTTTAAGTGAAGAATTTGCTGGGTGTGGTGGTATACTCCTTTAGTCTCAGCACTCAAGAGGTTGAGACAGGAAGATGCCATGAGTTTTAAGACAATCTGGGCTACATAGTAAGCTCTAGGCACACCTCAAATACAGTGTAAGACCCTGTCTCAAACAATATAAAAAAAGTGAAGAATTTCCTTTTGAATTTCTTAATGGCACATAGGATGGTTGCTGATGTAGTTCCCTTACTTACCTGCATGAGGATGAAAGGGATTCATGGTTTTTTATATTCTGTCCTTTTATAACTCCTTAGACTGTAAGTTTTTGAAAGCAAATAACTGAAGTATTCTGAGGAAGGAGGTTTATTGCGTATGCTCAGTTGGCTTAATTGGTATGAAGAAAAACCTCTGAGTGAAATTAAACTTTTTCTTTTTTTTGTTTTGTTTTTGAAACAGAGTCTCACAGTATACCTCAGGTTGGGCTTGATCTCACTATATAGTCAGGATTGACTTAAAACTCAAAGCAGTTCTCCTGCCTCAGGCTTTTGAGTACTGGTATTAAAGCAATGAGCTCAGTTCTGTCGTTAAAACATGCATATACAACACATAAACAAATAAGCATGGCAGTGTTCAGTGAGACAACTGTTCCGAGTAGTTCTTCCCTTTTAATTGACAGTTGACCAAACATTAATTGACTATAATTCACTCTTATTCATGTTCTTCTGATGATTGAATTCTCTCCTGGCCATTTAAAAAATTGTGTAGCTACCAGGAGTTTTGGCTTCAGTTAAATGCCCCCTAGGCTGTCAGGATTTGGTATAACATGACTGCTGCCGCATGAAGATTTGTAAGAGCAGAGAAATTTAGACAGTGAAGCACTTGGATAAGCTGTTCAGAGTATACTGAGAAGGAAGCTAAAACATTGTCCTCTGTCGTCCATCAGTCAGAATCCAGAATCAATTATTGAATTTTCCCTGTTCCTACCATTGGATTATAGCCATAATGATGATTATTTTTGTAGCATTTGCAATTTACAAAGAATTCTTCTTGTATTTGTCTCATTTGCTTCAGAAATCCTGTAAGGTGGGAAAGCACTGTGGAATGTGTTGGCTGATGGAATTCAGTAATGTTTAAATTATTAAACTCTAAAATTCAAGCCAGGGTCATCTAGTGCTTGTCCTTTCACTGTATTCCTTGTTCTTCCCAGTGAGGCTGTTAGAAGAAAAACCAGATTTTTACCCTTTTTGGGACTCTGGCTTCAGGCAGAGTCTCCAGGGATACTTGGAAACATTCAGTTACCCTTCGAGTTATATTTGTGAATTGTATGGTCTCAATTTTGAAGTAAAAGCTTGAAACCTGTAGTTGTTCTCATTGGCTGTGACCTAATAAACATGGTATTTATTCCTTTATCTGTGTATTATATTACCCTGTGTGGTTGCAGGTGGTATTCCCCCAGCATCCACCTAAGTAATGCCCACACGGTCTGCCCCACATCCCTACTAGGACATACCTATCTATGCCTTACTAGCCTTTCCTTCCTGTGAGTGCATCATACCTATAAGTATCACTACTCCCCTTTACCATCCTTTATACTTAAGTACAGATAGCAGTGCAAGGGAAGGAAGGATAGATGTAGAATAGCCCTCATGCTTTGCTGTTTTTGAGCTTTTTGGTTTTGGTTTGAGTCGGGGAGGGGGTTGTTGTTTAATGTGTAAGAGTGTATTGCCTTCATATATGTCAGTGCACCCGTGTTGTACAGTGCCCGCAGAATTCAGAAGTGGGTGTTGGGTCCCCTGGAATTGGAGTTACAGTTGGTAATTAGCCACCATGGGGATGCTGTGAACCAAACCTGGGTCCTTTGCAAGAGCAGCCACTGCTCTTACCTGCCAGTGCTATTCCATCTCTCCAGCCCCTTGTTTGTTAACACAAGGTCTCACTATGCAGTCCTGGTTGGCCTGGAACTCAAAGAGCCACATGCCTCTGTATGCTGGGATTAAAGGCATGCACCATTGTATCCAGCCCTCTTCATTTTAATTTTTGTATGTATATGTATGTGCCATGTGTGTGCTGGTGCCCATGGAGGCGAGAATAAGGCATCAGATCCCCTGACACTGTAGTTACAGGCAGTTGTGAGTCATATACATGGTTGATTGGAACCCAGCTGGGATCCTGGAAGAGCTGTGTGAGCTCTTAACTGCTGAGCTGATTTTACAGCCCCCATTTTTTTAAAAAAGAATTTATTATTATTTTTTAATGTGTATGCATGTATTGCCTGCATGTAGGTAAGTGCACCTGTGTTGTGCAATGCCTGCAGAGGTCAGAAGAGGCTGTCGGATCCCCTGGGACTGGAGTTACGGACAGTTGTTAGCCACTGTGTGGGTGCTGGAATTTGAACCCGGGTCTTCTGCAAGAACAACCAGTGTTCTTAACTGTATAGCCCCCATTTTTAATTTTATTTAAATACCATGGTCTTATAGAGTTGATCATTAAGCTCAAATTACAGAATTGTGTGTGAATATATGTATTCTACCATCCCAAGAAAGATTTTGAAATACTGTATTTGCCTATAGATTAATAAGACCTTTGTAATTTGAACTGTAGACCTAATCATTATATTTAATATTTTTCCTGTTGGGGTAATTTTGCTTTAACCCAAATAACTGCCACAGCAGAATGCAACTAATTTGTAAATTGAAAGATTTCCCAGAGGCGCAGACATGCCCAACTTCAATTCACAGTATAATCTGTGTGACAAGCTTCCTTAAGTATTGGCATTTCATGAATGTTACTGTATACAGTAGCATTGCACAACATGTTTAGTTACTGGACTGCCCTTTTGTAGTCTCTCCTATAAAAGACAATGGAAAGTAGTGGAATTTCCAACTTTATAGGCATAAACCACTATACTGAGTGTATATGGTGCTGAAAATCCAACCCAGGGCTTCTAAGCATGTTAGGCAAGTATTCT